TGCCCCTGTTTGCCCCCTCTGCTTTGGATACCTGCCCTCTTTCTATCTTTTCTCTCCATGCCTTAAAATTGCCTGTTAAGCTCTTACGTTGCTGCAAGACTTCAGTTTAGAGACAATCTTTTCATGCACCAAATAAAGCCATTGTCTCCGATATATGTCAAGGTTTCAATGCTTGAGATAATTTAGGTAATGGTGAGTTTTTGGATACTTACCGAAGCCACCAAATGTTTTTATACAAACCATCTTCCATGACAAAGCATATTCCTCTCACATTCTTCAGTGTTCTTCTGTATCGTCTTCCATTAACATTTTAAAACATTAATGTTATGTTCTGAATTCACAACATCATTTTATAATTTATTTAACAGAATAAAACAATTCCAATGTTAAAGAAAAGAAGGGGCTTATAGATGACTACTTTGAGTTTTCAGCTGAATCAGTTAGGGAAGCATAATCTATACTTTCCATTTTCTGCTAGTGATAGCAGTAAAAAAAAACAAAAACAAAAAAACCCAAAAAAACCCTTTTTTTAAGCAGATTCTGAGACTCTCTTTTAGATTTTTGGTGGCTCTGATGAAAGAAAGTATTGGACTGCACACTAGGCTGAGTTCTTTGGCTACAATTAAAAAGGAATCTGAGTCACGTTGTACTATTTTAACATAATGAAACTTGCAGTATGTTCTCAGCCTCACATAGACGCCTGGCTTTCATATACATAAAGCAGTCACTCTCCATCAAGCCCTTAGAAATGACCCTGTGGCATGAAGTTTGGAGCTAGATTTGGGAGAGGGGAATTAAAACACATGCAAGAATGTCTCTCATCAAATAAGAAGGAAGGTGATGAAATCATAGAAGAATGGGTATTACCTTTCCATTGGCAGATCACATGCATCACAGAACATATGTACTACACAATCAACATGTACGTAAAGGCAGAAGAGATCATGTAAAATAACTAATGACACACTGGAGAGCTATCTAGTGGGCAACTGGGAAGGTACGATTTGCTCACAGTAGGCTCACTTGGAAATACAAAAAAACTATACCAATCTGTTTAGCTAACTTAACCTCATAAATTAGGGGAGGGTTATCCTTGCTCTGTAATGGATGGAACACCATATAAGAAAAGAGAGAAAAAAGTAATAGCTAGCTATCACAATGGGTCCTAGACAGGATACTGTACACTTCTCATAAAGCATAAAGAAGGTTTATAACAAAAATGCATTCCAGAGAGAATTCCAGAGAGACACTAGAGATATAAAGTACTAGGGGCTACTACCTGCTGCCACCTCACTTATGTGATTCCTGAGACAGAGGAGATATTGCATGAAGAGGTGGTGATGAAATCTAAGCAAGAGAGAAACCACAGGATCATAGAATATTAGGGTTGGAAAGGACCTCAGGAAGTAATCTAATCCAAACCCCTTCTCAAAGCAGAACCATCCCCAACTGTGTCATCCCAGCCAAGGCTTTCTCTAGCCAGGTCTTAAAAATCTCCAAGGATGAAGATTCCACAACCTCTCTGGGTAACCTGTTCCAGTACTTCGCCAACCTCCTAGTGAGAAAGTGTTTTCCTAATATCTAACCTAAACTTGACTTGCTGTAACTTGAAACCATTGCTGCTTGTTCTGTCATCTGCCACCACAAAGAACAGTCTAGCCTCATCCTTTTTGGAACCACCCTTCAGGTAGCTGAAGTCTGCTATCAAATCCCCCCTCTCCCCAGTCTTCTCTTCTCCAAACTAAATAAGCCCAGTTCCCTTGGCCTCTCCTCATAAGTCATGCTCCCCAGCCCCCTCACCATTTTCACTGCCCTCCGCTGAACTATCTCCAATTTGTCCACATCCTTTCTGTAGTAGAGGGTCCAAAACTGGACACAGTAATCCAGATGTGGCCTGACCAGTGCCAAATAGAGGGGAAGAATCACTTCCCACGATCTGCTGGCAACGCTCCTACTAATGCAGTCCAGTATACCGTTAGCCTTCTTCACAACAAGGGCACAGCATTAACTCATTGCAGCTTATTGTCCACTGCAACTCTCATGCCCTTTTCTGAAGAACTGCTACTAAGCCAGTTGGTTCAAAGCCTGTAGTGGTGCATGGGATTGTTCTGTCCTACGTGCAGGGCTTTGCACTTGTCTTTATTGAACCTCATGAGATTTCTTTTGGCCCAATCCTCCGATTTGTTTTGATCTTTCTGAATCCTAGCCCTACTATCCAATGTACGTACTACTACCCCCAGCTTTGTCTCATCTTCAAACCTGCTAAGGGTGCACTCCATCCCATCTTCCAGATTGCTGATGAAGATATTTAACAAAAGCAGGCCCAAAACCAACCCTTGGGGCTCTCCACTTGATACTGGCTGCCCAGTAGACGTTGAGCCATTGATTATTACCCTTTGAGCCCAACACTCCAGCCACTTTTCTATCCACCTGATACTCCATTCATCCACCCATACTTCCATCCTTTCCTCAGGATCCTTTCCTCAGGATCCTGAACTCAATCATCTTGTGGTCACTGCTGCCCAAGTTGCCATCCACTACTAAATTTCCCACCAATTCTTACCTGTTTATGAGAAGCAAGTCAATCAGTGACCCTAGTTGGTCTCTCCAACACATGCACCAGGAAGTTGTCCCCAACACTCTCCAAAAATTTCCTGAATTTCCTGTGCACTGCTTTATTGTTCTCCCAGCAGATGTCAGGGTGAATGAAGTCCCCCATGAGAAGCAGGGCCTGTGATCGGGAAACTTGCACTAGCTGTTTGAAGAAAACCTCATCTACCTCATCCTCCTGGCCTAGTGATCTATAGCAGACACTCACCACAACACCACCCTTGGTGCTTTCCCTTCTGACCCTAACCCATACATTTTCAACAGGCCTATCTCCAGTTTCATACTGGAGCTCTGAGCAATCATATGGCTCTTTTACATAAAGAGTGACTCCTCCTTCTCTTCTCCCTTTCCTGTCCTTCCTGAACAGTTTATATCCATCCATGACAGCATTCCAGTCATGCAAGCTATCCCACGAAGTGTATGTTATTCCAATCACATCATAATTCTGTGACTGTGTGAGGACTTCCACTTCTTCTTGCTTGTTTCCCAGGCTCTGTGCATTTGTATACAATCTCCTTCTACTGTCCAAATTCCTTCTGTTATTATGTAGATGCAAGAATATGTCGTCTACAGAAGATGGAGAACATGCCTGAATGTCTGGACTGGTACTGTCTGTCCATCCATTTGCAGATATGCCCATATCAGGAGAGGGGCTTTCAGAGGGGAAGAACCACTGACAAAGGACATGCCTTGAGGTAACGGTCAACCAAGAGAGTATGCTCCTTGCACATAAAATCATAGAATCATATAAAAGTAGGCCTGGAAGGAACCTCTGGAGGTCATGTAGTCCAACTCCCTTTCGCCTTCCCCCCTCTCTGCCCTTGTCCCCCCCGCCCCAAAAAAAAAACAGCTACAGGCATAAACAGTCTATACCAATCTGACCATGGGGGAAAGTTCCTTCCCCAAATGGGACAGTTGTTCTGAGCAGAGGGGCAAGACCCTCTAGAAAGGAACTGCCAGGTTTTAGTCCCAGCACAAGCATGGTTCACCCTAGTCAAAATTCCCAGCCTTGGCTGTAGCTAACATCCAATGCTTGGAGGAAGGAGAAACACCTCCAGTGATGGAGATTCCAAAACTTCCCTAGGCAGTCTATTCCACTGCCTCGTTGTTCTAACAGTAAAGAAGTTTTTCCTGATATCCAATCTCCTTGGCTGCAGCTTAAGCCATTGCTCCATATCCTGCTTTATGCAGCAAGAGAGAAAAAAAAACGTTTTCTCTGTTTCTTTATGGCAGCTCTTCAGATATTTGAAGATTACTATCACATCCCCTTTTAAGCACCATTTATGCAAGCAGAAAGTTTCCAATTCCTTCAACCTCTTCTCATATAGCTTGCCTTCCAAAGCCTTTATCATTTTCATCACCTGCCTCCAGACCCTCTCTAGCTTCTCCACATTCCGTTTAAAATGTAAAGCCCAAAACTCTAGATGAGGCCTAATTAGAGTCAAGTAAAAGGAACTATCACCTCCTGTGTCATGCACCTAATGCTTCTGTTGATGCAGCCCAAAACTGCATTTGCCCTTTGTGGGCATGTTCAGACAAGTGCGGGCATGCAGTATGTGACACCGTAAACACATTTGCAGCACCACATACTTCACAGTCAGGTATTCTCCAGGCTGCAAGGGCATGCTGCCCATGCATGCACTGCTCCGGGTTTTTTTTCTTCAGATTTTTTTACCCCTGAAACCAGAGCAGCACACACACAGGCAACATGCACAGCTGAAAAGCAGAGCCGGGCTACCTGAAGCCATGCTGCAACTACCAGCTAGGCTCCACCCAGCAGGATCACCATTGCTGCAGCCCCAGAAGGCCCCCAGGACCACAGGTAAGCCTCCTCTACTGCCCCCAGGCCTGTGTAGACACATCACACTGAAGACTCATATTGACCTTGTAATCCACCAAGACTCCTAGATCCTTCTCCATAGTTCAGTCATTCAGCCAGGTGTCACTTATTTTGTATTTGTGTTTTTTGTTATTCCTCCTGAGGTGTAACATCTTGCATTAGTCAGCATTGAACTTCATCCTGTTCTGTTCAACATGTTCTGTTCTTACTGAGCTGATGCCTGTGTCATCATTCCAGGGACTTTAAGTCAAATCCAAATCATGTTCACCAGGTCCTCTATTTAGGCAGTGCAGAATCTAAAATTAGGTGTCTTGAGTAAAAAGAGCCTCTAAATCCCTGTTAAGCATATAGAGAGAGGCAGTTGTATAAGGCTGTACTGCTTCAGACAATCACCAGAGGACTTCAGTCTTCAGGCTGTAGGTTGCAGACAGAGGAGCCTGAAGGCTTCAGATTACTGATGAAGAGCCTCTGTGTCCTGTTAGGGAAGAAAGGGGGTGTGGACTCAAAGGGCTATATAAGCCTGACTCCTGGGCTAAAGAGCTCAGTCTTACCCAGAACATAGAAGGGAAAGCAGCTCCCTGAAGCAAGGCTGCAGACTCACTGAGAATGACAGACAGTAAGATAACCCCACAGGCTGGCAGGGAATAGCTAGCCAGTAGCAGAAGAGTTTGCCTGGGGTATGAGGACCCTGGTGGGGGGATTTGTTATCTTATTTGTATTACTTTATGGTTTTGTCTGCTGTTTCTGCAAGACATAGGATGTCTTTGATGGGGATTAGGGAAGCCACTGTGGCCACCTGAGGAAAGTGTTCCAAGTTTGGTTTACTAATTTAGGGAAGACTGGGATTGGGACCCCTATCTATTGAGAGTGAGAGAGAGAACCCATCTGAAGACTGCAGACTGGGAGCCAGAGGGTGGAGTCTGGGCTCAAGACTAGGGTCTGAGGACTAGAGAGAGAGGGCTTTGGCTACAGACTGAAAGAGAGTGGAGTGACTGAGACCAATTAAGATAAAATGCCCAGCAAGAGGGTTAAACACAGGACCAGGCTGAGGTGGTCCAGTGAGCAGCATGCAGAGAAGCATCTAAGGAGTTACCTTAGTGGTCTGAGGGAAGCCTCCCAAATTTATGTTAACACCAGGGCATGCAAGTGAAGACAGGTCAGTGCCAGAGAATCCAGAGTGCAGAACAGGTTTGTGGTAGCCACTAGAAGGCATTGCTGTTGCCTTCAGAGGTGAGGTCTCATTACACTTGTCTGAGGACAATCCAAATCAATAAATTAGGCACTTGGGATGCCATATATTCAATTGAGACAGTTAGCCAGATCAGAAGGGTGATCCAGTGTGCAAGAATCCAGAATGGAGCTGCTTAGACCAAGCCAATAGGAAATGCCAAATGTATGTGTGTTTGAGCTCCTGCCTCCTCATTCATTTTGCTTAGACACCTAATGCCCTCCTGAATTTGTACACCTAATAAGTTCCTAGTAGCCCAGCTTCCTCCAAAGAGGTGGAGGGTGCTTACACCCAAATTATTATGTAAGTTGATGTTTAGGGGGGCTCTTCTTGGAAATGAGGCAGAACTTAATATACTCAGGCCAAGGAAGGAGTAGAAACTGGATCTTTCCTGGGCAAGAGCTCTAACCACTAAGCTACTGTGCAAAGGTTGCTACCAGCTTTGTCCTGTCAATTTCAGTCAAGTGTCAGGCATAATCTGTGGATTTATGTAGAAGTGAATCTAGATAGTTGCTCCTGGTTCTGGCCTAAATCACTAGTAACCCTATGCAGGAGTAGGCACTTAGCTGCTTGCTGCTGAGCAGAAGCCTAAGTCTAGAAGCCTAGCAAATTTTTCAGTCCAAAATGGAAGTGCTTAATGAGTATAGAGACCTAAGAGATTTTGTGACTACTGGAACAGGATTGTGTTTTGTGGCTCCAGTTATAAAATTCCATCATCCTGTTTAGTCTCTTATGAGAATCATTTGGATCTGGCTCCAACACATCGATGTGCCCACTTTTATCTGTTTGTGTGTATCTGCCAAGATGGGCACATCCGCACATGCACTTGCAGCAGCTCAAATAGGACTGGCACAAAATTGAGTCAGTAACTTTTGTCTCAGCACTCATGCCCAGACATGCACTTTGCTGTGGGGAAAGCTGAGCTACTTGGGGCAAAATAACCCTGCCCAGCTCCTCCCAGATCTGGAGTCAGAGGAAGCTAGAGCCTGGGGCCAGCGCCTGTGCTGTTCCCAGCAGTATAAAAACATGCCCTGGTGAGCAGCTCAGGGCTACTTGCCCTCAGGACCTTCTGGGGGAAGCTAGCCACACCCTTTCCTGCCTCAGACTGCTGCTATTGCTGCTAGCTTGGTCTCAGGAGCTTCTAGGGGGAAGTTGCCCATGCCCCTTCCTGCTTTGCTGCTGTTGCAGCATTGCACCCCAGCTTCTGCACTCCTGTTCCAGCCTGCTGCCAAGCAGCAGTCAGGGAACAGCCTGAGGTGGGGGCCTGTGCTGCCTGCAGACCCCTCCCCCACCATTCCAGCACCTAAGGGCACCTTGCATGTCACAGCTGCCTCAGCAAGCCACCCCCCACCTCCACCTTCATTTTCACCTTTATCTGAAACACACCTTGGGTGGCTGACCTGGATAGCTGCTACCACTGCTGCTACTTCCCACCCTCAGGAGAGGGGAGTGGGATTCCCTGCTGCATCACCTTGCACCACACCTGAGCTGGATTACTTCCCTAGTTGAGTGCTGGCTCCTGCACTCCCTCACAGCTGCCTCCCCACATCTGAACCTGTGCCTTGTTTCTTGCCTGCTGCCCTGCTGCTAAGTGCCTGCGTGAGGGTCTGAGGGGCTCCTGGACTGAGCTTCAACAAAGCCCCTCCACCTCTCCAGCCATCGTTTCCATCTGCCTCAGCAGCCTCCCCTGTGTGTTTTGCCCTTGTGTGGTAAGTCCTGTGGTCCACTCCCCCTGCCCTGGTGTTTGTTGTGTGACTGAGTAAGGCAGCTCAAGTCTCCCCAGCCCTTGTCTGTGTCCCCACCCAGTTTTTCCTATGTAGCTGTAGCTCAGTGAGCTTCAGCCTCCTTCACCCCCTGCCTTCCCCCACAGCCCAAACCTGTCCCTATTTGATTCATTAGCCTCACTGTGAGTTTTGATTTTCTTGTTTTGGTTTCCCTCTCCCTTATGAGAAGCAATGACAGGGCAGGAGCCTTCGGGGGGGGGGGGGGGGCAGATGCCCCCACAGAACTTGCTGCAGCCCCTGCTGTGGGGGAAGATTCCAGCTAGGCCCCCAAGGAGGTGCATGTCTCTACAACCCCCACCCTGGGGGCAGAGTCCAACTGACCCTCTCCAGTGGTAGATGAGCCTGTAACCCCTGCTGCAGGGGCAAGAGGAACTCTAACAGGGAGTTAGTTGAGCCAGGGTGTCTCCTGGCCAGGCCCCTCCCTGAGGGGCTCTCGAGAGTCCCCGCCACCACCATCAGGGACCCCGGGCCAGGGCAGTAAGAAGGGCTCCTCTTAAGCCTCCTCCACAGCTGGGGGTGGAAAGGGCAAGGGCCCCACCCCCAAACCTAGACCACTGGTGCTGAGGGGACCAGGTGCACTACACTCAACCTGTCCCTAGCCCTGGCCCCACCAAGGTGGCCCCCCAGCAGGAGAATGGCAGCTATGCACAGGTGGTTTCAGGGCAACCAGTAGCCATGGAGTCTGGACCCTCCACTGCCAGCCCTTCCAGCTTGAGTGGCAGGGCTCCCTTTCTGGCACTCATCTGCAGGCATGGAGTGAAGTGCCAACTATCTGAGTAGAAGAACCTGCAGTTTGAGACCTGGGTGCAGGCCCTGGCTTGGGTGGTGGGGGGGCCCCAAAATCATGGCAGCCTCCCACTTTCATGGCAAGGGGGGTTTCTTCCTTGTCTTGGAGGCTGTCACACAAAAGGCAATGGAGAAGAAGCTTGTGGTGGAGGGCAAGTGCATCCCCCCAAGCCCCTAGAAGAGCTGGGCCCCTGGGTGGTCCTCAGCTCAATCCCACCCTACATCCCCAACTGGACCCTGCTCCCCAAGCTCCAAATCCTGGGCCCCAGTGGTGGCCCTCTCACTGGGGTGCCAAGACCTCAGCCTCTGTCACATGTGCTCTTTTTGTCGCCAGGTCATGATCCAACTGGTGACAGGAGTGCAGCTGGTGGAGGCCAATCAATGCCTTGTAATTCCCTTTAAGGGGGCCCTGGTGAGGATGTTTTTATACACTGATGGACCTACAATGCTTCTGGTGCCATGCCCTGGGGCACATGTGTCATGAGTGCCCCATGGTGGGGAAGGTATCTGTGGGTCTCACTAGCAAGAGGGGTACCCCTGGCACCCTTCCCCCTTGGGTTTCCCTGGTACCACAGCCACAACACCCAGCCCCCCCCACCATGAACTCAGGGGACCCCACCCCCCAACCAAGTTTGGCGGAGTCCTAGGGAGGGAAGCAGCAGCTGAGGTGAGAGGGAGTAGAGCCCCCCTGCTCCAGCCATGCCTCTGCTGCAATTGCCCAACCCCCACCCTCTCCTACCGGAGCTTGTCCACCTGAGTACCACCCCTGTAGGCAAGCCTATAACCCCCACTGTGGGGGCAAACAGGACTCTAATGGGGGACCAGGGGACATGGCCCAACATGTCACTCCTGTCTTGTTTTTGCCTTTGTTGTCCCAAGAATTCTGTTGCATCTTTCACCCACTGGCCCCACACAGTATGGGCTATTAGTTGGTCAGTGGGCCTTAGAGCCCATGGTACTTGAAGGATAGAAATAGACAGGAGCTTCTGGGGCCTGGCCAATTGGTATTGGGATACTAACCCTCATGCCAAATGGACTGCTGAAGCAGCATCCCAAAGTCACTTTTTAAAATACCCCAAAATCCATGTTCTTCCACCATTTGGAACAAAAGACCACTATATTATACATGCAGAGAGAGAGAGAGAGAGAGAGAGAGAGAGAGAGATCAGATGGGCAATGTTTTATTGCTATATTTACAATTTGAAGCAATCTGGAAGCCTACAAGTGTCTATCATTATAAAATAAATCCTAAATATCTATATGTTTTGATGTTTTCTTTTGGCTTTCTTATCACATGGTGGGTGTGTGATGGAGGATGGCAAGGGGTGTAGAGGGATGTGGGGGGATTTTGGGGTGTTGAGAATTAAATTTTGGATGAATTAATAAGTTGGGTTTTCTGTTTTTCAAGCATGCCTAGTCTGCTTAGAAAGCAGCCTTGAGAAGAACAAACAAACCATCTATAAGAAGATAAGGAGCAAAGCAAACTTCCTGTCTCAGGAGGTTGTAAAACAAGCAATTCCTCACCATCCATCCAACTGCATACCTAAGCCTAAGATGTATGTAGCCAAAAGACTGAGTTTTCATGAAGTCAACAAGGTAATTGGCTAAACAGGCTGTCAGAGGCACCACAGCAGTTTGTCTGGATAAAAAGGCAGTGAAGACCATCCCTGACGACATCATATGCCATCAGCTCAGGAGAAAACTATCGGTGTCCCTCCCATAAGATCATTGTGTCTAGAGGCACCATGACTGGCCAGTGTGACTGAACCCGAGCACCAGTGGATTGCCGTGTATGTATGAATGGTTTTAGATAAAGCATTGCTTTTTCCCCCACTTGATTTGTGTGTGACTCAATAAAGATCTTGGTTGCTGAACCCATGCGTTGGTCTTTCATCCAGCATTAAATGGTTTACCCACATTCTCCACCAGATAATCTTTTGGGGTGACACTGCCTCCTTCACCCCCTGCCTTCCCCTACATGTTGCAGGTGACCCTGCAAAAAAGTTCATGAGTTGCCCTTTTAGGGGAGACCATGGTTTAAAGAGTCACCCTTATGGGGGAAGACCACTGGTTGGAGGAAGAAGCTTCCCCATTGTTTTGAAAATGTTTAAGGAAAAGTCTGGGTCTAACCAAGGAGCAAAGGACCTGTCCAAGTGGACTGTTAGGGAGGAATCTTAAATTTAAAAAAAAAAAAAAAAAAGGTACCTGTCCCTGAAGTCTGAGTGCCTTTCACGGACATGATGGCTTAAAGCAGGCTTGTAAGGCATTCAATGTTTTGGTTACTGCCACCAAACCAAAAGTAACTAAGAAACTGATTCAGCAGTTGAAAAATCCTCACCATCAGCCCAGGGCTGCAATGTGGCTTTTATGGCAGGCTGTGGAAAAGAAGTGCTGTTTCATAAAAGACAGAGGAAAGTGAAAGCTGTAAGGCATTTGTTATACAGAGGGAAATGTGAAAAGTGTTTAGAAAGAGTGGCAGTGAAGGAATTAACAGATTGCATGCAAGAAAGGGCAGGAGGAAAGAATAAGAATAGAACTTAAGGAAAACCTGTTCTAAGAAAAAGTTGTTACCTGATCTCTCAGTGCCTGAGATAATACTGTGGTTTGTTTAGGCTAAGTACAATAACTTTTATTCCTGGTCCAATAAGAAGCCAGTAGCAGAGACAACTCCTGTGCTAAAAACTGCAAATGTACAGAAATAGAGCCTAAGGAGCCTAATGAGTGAGTGTCTTTACAAAGATTGTTACGGTGTTGGTGCAAAACAGAGGGTGTGAGCAGTGTGGTGTGTTTGTTTTGTGTACATTGCAAGGTAAAGAGGGACTGCTGAAAGTGTAAGTGTGGGCACCCTCATTAGTAACGAAGTGAGAAAGGAAAGGTAAGAAATGTTTTTGCTACTAGGAATAATATGGAAATCCAAGAAAAGAAAGTGTTAACAGCTTGTTAAGGCGCGCAAAAAAAAAAAAAAAAAGTGTGTGAGAAAACTCAGTGTCAGCTATTAAGGCTCTTGCTGTAATTGATAGAGTTAATCAGGACAAGCAAACAAAGGCATTTCTTAATGTGCAGGTAAAAAATATTCACTAGAAGCTAAAATAAGATAGTAATTCATAATAAACAGTTTAAATCGGGGAGTGATAGTACAAATGCTTAGGGTGTGAGTGAGTTCCTGATTTAGGATTTGGTCTATTCTGAAAACAAAAGGGAAAACCTAAAAATGGACAATAAACTTCAGAGCTTTGAATGTAGTAACAACTGTTGTAGCTCCTGGTATAGTAAAACACCCTGAAATTCTAAGAGTTATAGCAGGAGGAGTAACATGATTTTTAGTATTAATTTGGCTAATGTCATTTTTTGGTTATTTCCTTGGCACAAAAGTACTACTATAATTTGAAGTTGATGTTCATGAGAACAATAATATTGTTTTATCCAAACACCTTAAACATTTACAATGTCGCAGCAATCAAAATGTAGAAAAAGTTTAAGTAAAAATTATGAGGGATAAATTTTCCCTCTAAAAGAAACTCATTTCTGAAATAATAATTTGGTTAAATTATAACAAGGGTATTGACATCCCTCAATCTCACATGTAAGGAAAAAAAATGTAAAGATCTCAATTCCAGTTGCCAAGTAGTACAAGACCATTAAAAACAAAACCAAAAATGTGGATGATCCTTGTCATTTAATATGTATATTTAACACCCCCCCCCCCCCCCCAAGAATTGCAATGTAGTATGCATTGCCACTGCATGTTGGCATTGTAAATATGAATAATGTATTACTGCTACAGATTCCCCAGCCTCCCACCTGGCTCAAGACTCCTGCTGCTGCCTGTCCCCCCACCCACCTGCAGCCTACTGTCAACAGCAACTGGGGTGCTGGGGGCCTTGTGGCAAAGCCCCCCATGCGGCACAGGGCAGCAGGGGGCCGGATGTTTCATCCCCGGTCACCTGGCACCCATGCCGTCTCTGCCGCAGTGAGTGGCTGGGACCTGGCTCTGCAGGGCATCACACAGCACTGTGTGCTTTCAGGCAGCTCCAGACTATCACCTGGGGCACCATGCCACTCACAGGGACTGCCTGCCACACCAGCCTCGGTCCTATGTGCACATAAGCAGCCTGGACTGATGGTGCAGGGCCTGTGCGCACAGGACCCAGGGCAACGCAGCAAGTAGCCTCTAGGAGTGGCATGGGGCTCTAGGTGACAGCCCAGAGCTGCCCAAAAGTGTGTGGAGCCACACAGTGCCCTGCTGAGCCAGGCCATAGCCACACGATGTGGCAGAGGTGTGCCAGGTGGCTGGGGATGAGCCATGCTTCCCCCCACTGCCCTTTCTGTGGGCTGTGCCATGAGGCCCCTAGCACCGTAATCACCACTGCCGGTAAGCTGCAGGCAGGTGAGGGGGTGGGCTGGAGCCAGGCAGGGGAGTGAGCAGGAGGCTGGAGCCAGTTGGGGGGGCCCAGCAGGGGCTATGCAGTGGGCAGGCAGGGTACCCACCCCTCCCAAGCTGCCCCTGCCTGTGATCCCCTACACCGTCCTCCAACTCCCCTCCCACCCAACTTACCTGTCACAGAGCTCAGGTCCAGGTCGCAGCAGCCTGTGCCACTGCTTGCCCTGCATGGGAAGCAGCATGCTTCAGCACCGGGCCAAGAGCCAGCTATAGAGATGTTCTGGCTGGCTAGCAGAGCATCTCTGTGGAGGACCCAAACCTCCAGCTGCCTCAGGGGAAGGTCTAGGACCTTGCCCTTCCCCACTTTTTTCCCCTGGGGTATCTTTTGGTACCTAGATCTCCAGATACCAAATTGTGACTCCCGCGCTGCAAATATGCACTGTAGGGAACTTTTTTTTTTTTTGTTCCCAGCATAGCTCTTGCAGCGTCTCAAACTGGTTTGGGATGCTGCAAGAGGCACATGCGTGTTCATCTGGATGCACCCCATGGGTGCATCCCAACAAGCTCACATGTGCATGAGCTCGTGTTTCCTGTGGGACAAATAGCAGCAGTATATCTGTGCTGCTGCTATTTGTCCTTGAGCATGGCCCTGAGTGCACACTCTGGTGCATGGCAAATTGCCCTGGCTAGCCCTAGCAGCCTTACCTGGAGCCCTGGGGGCTTTCCAGAGCAGCAGCAATGCCAAGCCGGACACTCAGAACCTGGATGGCAGTAAGAGTGTGGCTCTGGCCAGCCAGGCTCTGTTTTGGGTGGCATGCACTGTTGCTGCATGTGTTGTGCTTTTTTTTAGCTGCAGATCTCCAGTGTCAAAAAAATCACTACACTGCAAATTAGCAGCACGGTGAATGGGTGCATGTGTGCCAGGTGCAGTTTGTGGTGCCTCAAATGGATTTGAGGCATCTCAGACTACGCATGCATGCTCATCAAGACACCAGTCCATGAGGTGATGCACCTCCAGCAGCAAAGGGACAAACTTTGGCCAAAAAGAGCAGACCAAAGCCCTCCTATTACAAAATTATTGTAGACTGTTAATAGGATCTGTGATAGCTTTTCATAGAGTTTACAAACTGGGCCAAAGCCAAAAAATGTTCATAACTAATAATCCAACTTGCTCTTATTCCAATTACAGCTTCAGGAAGGTGTTTATCAAAAATATTATCCATCAATCCACTACTGCCTATGAGTTTCTTAATTCAAATATCAAAAGACAGGACTCAAACAGAGAAGTCAGAACTTTCTGGTTCTGGTTGAACATCAAAATCCTAGCATGTTTCTATATAGATGAATGTACATCAAGTGTATTATCAAAACTGCAAAAATAATGATACTGTAGCTCAGAGATATGTTAATGCTGCCTATGGTGAATGTCTCTGTGGTTGTCCTCTACAGGCTGTATTGAAGCTTATGCCAAGAAGCACTTAGACAGAAAGTCAATAAGGCTGCTTCCAGTAGCAGAGACACTTGCATTATTTACCAACTCTTCTGAAACTAATCTGAGGTATATTTTACATGGATTAACAGACAAAAAGGATTAGTCTAAATATTGTAAAATGAAATGTTTTATGACAAGATTAGAGTCAAAAGGAGTTCAAAGCTATTTTATCACATATTTATATGGAGCTATACAAGCAAGAACCAATTTTGACTGAAAACAGAGGCCAGATTTTTTGAAACTTGGGTGCCTCAGATTTGGTTCTTAGCTATGCATCTAAACAGACATTTGTCTGATTTCTTCAACAGTTGGGAATCTGCAGTTGCTCTTGAAGTAGTAGGTGGTCAATATCAACAGATAGGTAACTTTTACTCGGATGACTGATGTGGATATAGCAGCCTCAATGTAAGCATCTGTGTTTGAAATTTTGGTCTGACTGCGATTTAAATTATTTTTCCTTATAAAAAAAAAAAGTCATAGGCACAATCATGCCAATAAGAACAATATTTATTCTTTAAATAGCATTATATTTAAATAACTTTGTTGTGGCTCACAATTCGATGGTTAGCTTGGGGCTTGCATCTCCCAAAACTAAATAAACTAGGAGCAGAAATAAGTCTGTAGATTACATTCATAGGATGTGGGGATTTTGTCAAAAACATAAATATATCTTATATTTATTACATGGCTCTATATAAGAATATATCTTAAAGTCAGCCTTAGTTGATAGCAATAAATGTTTTGCCCTAGAAATGACCTAAAATCTAGCAAAAAGAAAATAGCAGCCCCAAATAGAAAATCCTAGCAAAATAAAACAAGAGGAGAGTTCCCATCCAAGTCATTACCTATAAATCTGATTTTTCTTTGCTTTGTGTCAGACACTTAAGGTTATTTTGTGGTTAAAGAGACCTTTACGAGAGTGATTAAAAATAAAACTTCCTGCAAGAGAGGTGCCACAAAAGACTGCAAAATCACTTTTGAAA